AATTTGTCGGAATCGCCCCTCCCTCCCCCCCCCCCCCCAAAAAAAAAACAAAAACAAAAAAAAAACAGGTTTTAATTAAAGGAAGGCAGCCATGTATAGTTGACTTAAGTAAAGTGATTAAAGTCATTTCAAATGATCAACCGCAATTAATATTTTGGTTGAAATTAGTATTTTTGGAATTGCTTCCGAAAATGCCTTGGAAACTATAGTATAATAACAAAACAGAAAGTTTGCACTCCGTCACCTTAACCCTTTTGTCTTTTGCAGCTGTTCAGCTGAGAGATCTCATGATAAAGTCACATGAATAGCCATAAATAATACTTCCTGACATCATATATTTGAGACAGTTATGTAGGTTTAATGCAAAGCAATATGACGCTTCATTTGCCTGACTGAAGACTGAACACTAAGCAAACAAGTGAAACAGACTAAATGTCTGGTTGTTCCAAAAGTTTTATTGCGCTGAAATGAAAACAAGAAATCCTAAAAGTGGTAAATAATAAATAAAAAGGAAAAAGAGAAACTAAACCTCATAAATACTGTAAATTCTGACCAGATGGAATATGCCCAAATAGCTACACCTTCAAGTGCCTCTCATACACTGGATTGTCTAAATATGAAAGTGAGTTGTGATTAAAAACGTATTTATTCTCAGATGTTTGCCCAGTCTTATGAAAAATGAGTGGTGTGTGTGTGCGTGCGTGTGTGTGTGCGTGTGCGTGTGTGTGTGTGTGTAGGTGTGTGTGTGTGTGTGTGTGTGCGTGTGTGTGTGTGTGTGTGTGTGTAGGCTCTTCAAAGCTTTATTCCAGGTGAGTTCAGTCATGCTCGTCCCAGTAAGGGACATGCAGGTTACACTTTTTCCCTCTTTTCTTTCATTTTCATGGATTATTATTTTTGCTCCTTGATGAAATGCTTTGTTGTTCCACACATATGAGTGGCAGGTCCTAATACGCGTAGCAGCCACTGTGCCGAACGTTTCAGTAAAGCAGACTAATTGGAGCCCTGACGGCCAGGTGTGGACGAGTTGAGGTTGCTGCCAGGGCTTTGGCCACTGCAGCCAATCTTTCAACGGATTCTCAAATGATCATGGCGCACAGGTTTGAGGGGCTGGGGGGAGGGGTCAAAGGTCCTGGATGAGATAGCATTGTGCTGCCAACACAATAATGAACCACCTCAATGTCACAGCAGAACGTTGAGCATCTCATGCTCCGTTGCGCTCAATGGAAGACGAAGTTCCTCCTTGAAGTTCGTTGTCTTTGTTTACCTTTCTTAACGTCATCACGCAGATTTAACTGAATGTGAAAAGAGCCCTGTTGCAATGCGATGCCTTTGGTCAGTCCATTTTTTGCAGAGACTGCACAATCAAATACATTCTACCTGTCATAAAAGTGCTTGTGTCCCTGGGCAAGCATAAACTGTTCAGGAGTCTTCACGACACAAGCAGAAGGTGTTTCACAGCACACAGCGGTGCTCTGTGTGTCACAGAGAGGGAGCTTATGCTCTGTCACCTCCGGTCAACCACAGCCAGAGGTGACAGAGCCAACACTGAGCCTGTGGTTCAGGAACACTCAGAAGCATACACACAAATACATCAAATACACAGCAGAGATAGAGAGTCTCACTGTGACCTGAAGTGCAGAACAAGCACAGTGATGATACGGCCTTTATCAGTACATGCATTGTAGTATGTTAGTGAAACAGACTAGCTAAGACTGCTGATGTACTAGCATTGTCCCTGCTTGTACTAACTTTGCTGGGGGGAGGGGGAGGGGGGTTGTTGTTGATCCAAGTTGTAATGTCCCTTTTGGCATTAGAACTTTGATGAGTACTAAAGTGTCTTTTTTGCTGTTATGACTGGCTGAGTGCCGTAACAGAAACAGGAAACTGTGCCACAGGTAAAGGTACATAATATGAACATTTTTTAAAGATAAAGTTAATGTGTCTGTATCAGTGGCATAATGTAAATGCTGTAACCTTCCAGGTCCCAACCAGACTCTCCAAGTCTCTTAGCAGGCTTCCCTGTACACGATCACCCCTCCATCTCTTTGGCCCTTTCTTCCACCATACAAGCTCACATGGTTCTTGCTCCTTTCCAACTCTATGATTTTCAACAAACTCCCCAGTCATTCAACCACTTCAGTGCCTCTCAGGAAGCCATCCTTAACACCCTCGCTCCTCGCACTCTGTCAGCGCACTGGAAGAACTTCAAATCTCTCCACGCGGCTTATCAGCTGCATTTCCCTTCTCTTGACACCACGTCCATCTGTCTCTTCATTACTTATGCTGCAGAACCTTTTATTAGAAGCTCAGAGAAACACAGACATAAACCCTGATTTATACAGTATCTTGTTAGTCAGGCTGGTACTCGGTCCTCAAAATACCTTTCACTACCATCCAGACTTGATGCCATTGATGCCTTGTCAGGCATCAATTTTTTTTTTCTTCATGCTGGTCATGGGCAACGTCTGTCCATCTATATGTCATTGCCATATACTCATGCCTAAAAGAAAAACCTTCAGCTCTCCTCAGTCATTGCATCCTCACCCTGTGATTTTGGAATCTGTTTCTGCTAGCCTTCTTTGCCTTCTTACAGTGTTCAGAGTTTTCCCCAATCTCTTCCAGGCATAATCTTTCTATACATCCACTTCTTTCAGATATCTTCACTCATAGTCACTCTCATCTCCACTCTCAGGAGACTTGGTGTCTCTTTTCCAATCCATATCTTCCGTCTTGACTACTTTCCCAGCTCATATGAACTATCCTGGTGAAAACCAGACCCTCAGCTATTGAGAAACAGTCGCTAACGTTTGACTGTGACGTATGTCATGTGCCAGCTTAACTGTCAGATACTGCGATACCTTGATAAATAATCCAAATTGGGAGTTTGTTGTATCTTGTCCCAATGCTTTAAATGCTTTGGTGTATTTTACATCATTGTAGTGATATAATTTGCTATAGACATGCTAACCATGCTAATGCTAGTGCTAGGCATGGTTGCTAATGCTAAAGGCCTGTGCGTCTTTTTAAAAGGCCAAAGTTAGTGCTACAATCAGAGATGTTGGTTTTAAATTTTATTTAATTGAAAATGCATGTAGTCCAAAGATACAACTCATGTTAAAGCTACTATAAGCTGATTTTGGTTTAAATAATAGTGTTGGTTTGTTATAAATTAATTAATTTACATTGTAGAAGCAGCTGAAAGGTAAAATGTTTTAAGATGCCTTATTTGTAATTTATTCCAACGTTGATTTTGATTGATTTACTTTATGCAGTGTATAGGGTTTGGATATGTATATATGTTAAATGTATGTCTAAAGTTCCCTAACTACGAGCAAAGTAGAAATCAAAGTGGAAATCAAATTTCTTGTTTGTGTTCAAAAACCTGCAGAATAATTATTTATCTTCCCTTTGGGATCAATAAAGTATTTTTGAATTGATTTTGAATGAAGCTGATTCTGAGTCCGTTTTTAAAATTTTCAAAACACATCGAGAACTTGAGTGTTTTAAACTGCACTTACTGTTGGTTCCCTTGGAAACCAACACCACCAGATCAAAACAAACAATTAACCTCCAAGGACACTTTGGACTTCTCTCACAGGTGAATGGTAAGTTTCTTTTCTGTTGTTGACAATCTGTAGTTTACAGAAGAAGTGATGTAAACCTAGGTGTAGTTTGTCTTTAATGTAAAAAAGAATCATGTTACTATTACCTGTTATTGTTTGTTTTCATCCCTGAGTAAAGTTCAAACTGAAGTTCGTTAAAGACGATTTGTTTCGTAGGAGAGAGTATTCGATTTCACTTTGGTGCCTCTTTTCGCACTTTTAGTCTTTTTCTTTTCTTCTGTCAAATTCGTTGTAAAGCAAGACATGTTGACTTTTGAAATAAAAAATTGTTTATGTATAAATCTTCTGGAAGCATATTGTGATTGCTGTCTCTGACTTGTGCCTATCTGTTCCAACCAGTGCTAGATCAAACATGGAGGACTTTCTGGTAAAAGACAACAAGAAGACGACCAGCCCAATGATGTATTTACCAGGCGTAAGTTGTTCTCAACTTCTTCCTTTATCACTGTTTTTGACTTGTGACGAGCTAGCAAGTGCAATGATTACAGGTGTCCAGTATCGATCCAATGCAAAGTACATACAGGATCAAATACCAATACAGGAAGTTTTTATTATTTGAGTTTTATATAGGAACAAATTTCTCACCGTTAGGTGTTGTTGTGTTTTGTTTTTTTTTCTTTAAAGTATTTTGTATAACCTTTGGAAAATATATAGGTGTCTACAAATAATTTAAACTAAAATTTGCATTTTTCCTAATAAAGGGCAACAAAATATCATTTGAGAACAAATCTAAAATCCATTTTTTAACAAGGATCCTCAAACAAGAACATTGAGATGAGAGGTGATAAAAATCCCAATCCACGTGTTTTGCAAATCACGCCTTTTGGTACAGCCAGTGGCAGATAATGTCTGTTATTCTGTTTATTTGGTTGAGGAGACCGGTCCGTCAACTGATAAAACTCCAAATTGCCACTTTGGTTAAAATCAAACCAAAAAAACAAACAAACAAAACAAAAAACCTCCAAAAAAACGAAACAAAACAAAAACAACGCAAGGCCAAGTGGAAAACTGGATTGTTGTGTTTTAAAATCAGTGGTTAAATATGTAGATAAGGCCAGGATAAATGGTAGCTCATGTCTAAAACAAATAACATTTACCTTAATTAATTAAAATAACTCAAATATTTTTTTAACTAAGATAATGATTTAAAATGTTAAGTTTCTGTTTTCTACTGATGAACATCAGAACTCAGGAAGTTTGATTCAAAATGAGTTTGATTGATGCATTTTATTTTCTAATTTCTTTTTTCCTTAAAGAAACATAGTCTGTCATTTGTTGGACAATGCTAAGGATACTGCAGTAAAAAGGAATTTCAACTTTTAACAAATCCTCACGATTACATGTACATGTATGGAATTTTGTTGTAAGGCTCCAATAAAAATAAAGAAATTAATGTCATGGAGATCACCTCAAAACCTAAAATACATTTAAAACTATTGAATCTGGACTGAATTATTGCAAAACAACGTAAAAGAACTTTAATCTTTTGAGATGTCTTCATTCTGTTTTGTGAATTCAACATTCTACGACATTTCTCTCACTGTTCGCCCTGATTCCATTCCACAGAACTCTACTGGCGCCCACCTGAACGTAGTTCATGATGAGAGTCTGAGCAGAGCCGGTGACACTAAAGGTGATCAGCTCCCCCATCCTGAAGAGAACCAACAGCTTTTTGAGAGCCTTCCCACTTTGCCTAATAAGCTCGCCTCCAAACGCGGGAGGAGGACGTACATCTGCGACCAGTGTGGGAAGACGTTCCGGAGGAAAAGGCGCCTGACGGTCCATCTGCGGAGTCACGGCGTTGAGAGGCCGTACAGCTGTGTCCAGTGTGGGAAGAGTTTTATTCAGAAGGGGAATCTTACAGTCCATCAGCGCATCCACACCAGAGAGAGTTTACCTCAGGCCTGAACTGGAGGGAAGTTTATCAGAACCTTGTCATCAACGTACATCGACCACACAATGTGAAATGTACATTTGAACTTAACAGCTTAAATAAAATTAATTGGGAGAGCAAAGTAAAGTTGCAGTGATTTGTCGATTTTCGTTTTACAAGGAATCAAACGACAGACGCGCTCACGTAGCAAATCCAGAGCAAGTATGGTTCTGAGAATGTCGTTTATTGTTTTGTTACGTAATTACTGCTGGGTCTTTTTCCTACAGACCAATACTCTTTATTTTATCTATGCCTATAGGCTTAGAGGACACTCTGTCCAGTAACCCGGTGGTCAGTTTTACCTCTTTCTGCAGTTTTCAGTCCATGCTGTTGTTTAACTTTAAGAAACAATGGTGAAACTTTAAACTGCTGCTGTGCAAGTTACTCAACAAGGTGTTGCTAAGTAACCAAAGAGTGAGTGAGTAATGGAGGGCTCATACCAAACGCGTTACCTGCGTTTGTCCCACATGTGCAGCAGAGGGCGCAGTAAGCGAGTTCTCAGTGTTTTGCCAACCTCCATAAAACAGAATAAGTCAATAGAAAAAGATCGAGGTCAATAGCCTTCATAAACATAAAAAAAAATCTACTAAGCAATTTATTGCGAACAACCATTAAAATAAAAATAGGCTGTTTGTCAGCTGATCAAAATTTGAGACCATAACTCAGAAAAACCCCCCCCCCCCCAAAAAAAAAAACCATGAAAGAGAAATAAAAATGTCAAGAAAGGAGTAATGAGTAGCTGCACCGTTCTTGTTAGAGTAGCAGCATCTCAGAGAACTGGATGTGGGGTTGTAGCATCTACATGACACTCTGAGGGCACCGCAGTCCACTGCCTGTTTGAAAAAGGCCTTAAGACATTTATTTTTAGCAAAATGTTTGGTTCATTTTCTTACATACTGGTTTTAATCTCTTTTATCTGTGCATCTATTCATTTATTTAATTTTAATTCATGTTTATCCATTACAAGTGCAAGTTTTGTTCCTGTTTCCTGCCCTTTGAGATTTAAATATTTAAATGGCATTATAAATAAAGTCTATTATTATTACTGTTATAATTTTAACATTCCAACAACAATTCACCTTCAGGTGAAGGAAATGCCACATCATCGTACCGACTCTGCCAACAGCTGTTTGGTAGTCAAAAACGTTCCCTGAAGTTCTACATAACTTCATCAAAACTGAGCGAATTTTCAGTCATTTGATTTGACAAGCGGTTTTTCATCTTGCAGTGAATACGAATGCGACACACTCCAACGTGTGTCAGCTTCGCCAGCTAAGAGAACAGCCAGTTCACGGGAAGAGGATGACTGAGTGATTTTGTGATAAATTGGATAGAAATGCACAGCAGCTGGATCCAGATTGACAGCTCCAAGTCAATGAACACCCAGGTATAGAGGTGTAATATCTCCTAAGAGTCTATTTTTCTGACTGACAGACAAGTTCAGCCAGGTTACTGTTTTCACAGCGCAAGGCAGTTCTTCAACCGTGCAGAACTTGGACCCACTGAGGGAAATAAGGAGAGACGCTGCTGTCAAGCTGCTGTTTGAAGAATGAACACACAAACATTAAGAGTAAGACTGAGTGGAGGGAAGGGGGGGTTGGTGGTGGTGCTATTTGGAGAATCAGTGCAGATGCATTGACTGACAATCCCCCGCTAAATGGTTTTGCAGCACAATTATTGCTTTACAAGCTGTATTTTCTCCTGTGAGCAGCGTTATGCTGTTCACTGGATCGATTAATTTCATATCTAATGATATCTGTGCGCGCTGAATGCTCAAAAAGTTGCAGGATTTCAGAGTTCCCAGAGGAACTGCTGTAAATCACAGAGACTTTGAGGAGGAGGCCAGATTACAGAACATCATGGGACGACACAGTTCGTTAAAACAAATAATTACAGGAATCATTAATAAACTTTTCTCTGCAACTAGGAAAATAAAAAATCTAAAACATTGGAACGAAACAATATTAACCAAATGATGTTGGCTTAAGCTGAATAGAAAGTCTTGCAAAAGTATTTTTTACCATTTCAATATTTTATTGATGAGGATGAGTTAAGCTACGACATATAACCCTTAGGGGGAAAAAAAGTGTTTTTTTACATATTTGTTAAAACTGTAGCAATTTATTAGACAAATAATCTACAGAAAAATTATCCACGTCCTCCCAGTGCCCCTGCAGTGATCTGCAGAAACTGCACCACTTCCAATCAAAAATAAAAAGTCAGAGACAGCTGATCGGTGTTGTAAGTCAAGCTTGTGTATGCACTGCTCATTGTGTTACCGTTCCAGGAAAACTTTACATCCTTCGTCATCCGTAGCCATGCTAACTAGCCTTAGCATTCCTGATGGTTCCAACTGTCGGGAAGACGTTGTAGCACAGCAGAGAGAAAAATGGGGCAGTTGAGATGAGCGTGTTCACAAGCATGACTGACAACGCTAAGACCCTCCTCCTGGCTCTGATTGGTTGTTTCTAACCAACCGGTGTGTTTCTGTAGTTAGCACTTGGACCAATGGGAGAAGGTAGAGGAGCTCCATTTTTTTCACAGGTTCTCTGGCTTATCTTGTTCTGTCACGACATAACAATAAGTTTAACAAATATGTGAGAAACATATATTTTTTTTTAAAATAAGTTACGCACTGTAGCTTTAATAGACTTCTGGAGCACCTTGTTATTTGAATTAGGTGTAGGGAAACTGAGACACATCTAAAGCTTGACGTACAGTGAGGCCATGAGGACCAGGTGTGGGACAGGCTGGTCAAAGGTCATGTTCATGCAGAAGTCAATTGTGACCCAAATCCAAATTTCTTTGGCTGCATGCGACCCACATCCAGCTTATTCAGTGCAGCCTGAAGGTCCCTCTTCTAATCTTTTCATCCCAAAAAAGTCAGATTGGTGCCACGTTCACATGTGGAGCTACATCAGATATGAATCCGATTGTGGTTTTAGTGTGATGAAATATGGAAAAAGTTATTACTAGGCAATGTAAATCTGTGCAGTTTTATTCAGTTTTCTCAGCAAACAACTCTCAACCTTTCAACTATCACTTTTCCTCTCATGCAATACGACATTTAAAAGAGTTAGACCACTGACTGAGTACACTGAGTGTTTTTTTTTTTCTTTTTTCTGTTTCTTCAGACTGGTTTCTACATGACTGGAATATCTTTCTACACAGCTAGTAAAAGATGTGACCATCCATTGGAAACTGCTGTGTAGATCAAAGAGCTCTGCATCAGTGTTGGACAGTGAAAATGATTAGTCCATGCCCAGTGGCTGTCTTAACCTCAGTGAAGCTGGCTTTAGTAGGAGACTTTTTTTTTCTGCTTCACTGCTTTCCATCCCATCTCATGCAAGCACAGCTTTTTTCAGCCCCGATGTCGGACTGGAAATTGTTCAGAACGAATCGCCAACAACCTTCCAACCAGAAGCCCCGAAACGACTCTCAATGCCAGGCGGTGCAACGGCCAAAGCTAAAGTTCTTTATTTCTTAACTGACCAAATGTACAAGGCAACATATTTTGCATTTGAAGTTTTGAAAAAAAAAATCCTGCAGCGCAAACTGTCACAGCGCAGCAACATTCTCACCCACTCGAGTGCGGCAAGGGTGAGACTTCTGGTTCAAAGAGAGACGGGCTGTCAGGCTGTCAATCATCTCTCGGTCGAATGAAAGATCAAAAGGCAGATCAGACGACTCTGCTGTTTTGAGCCGAGCGTCGTTTCGCTTCGGAACAGTTTTTGCCTTTGGTGCTGTGTGCTGTCTTATCGCCGCCCCTCCAGATCATTATCATCGCCGTCCCCGGCTTCGCTGCTGTATGACACTTGTGGTCATGTTAGGTGTTCAAGCTGTGAGGGGATCTATGCCTTTCTTGATTGGCCTCAAACCGCAAACTGTGACCGATTTGCTAGCATCATCGTCAAAGTTCTGCTCTTTTCCCAATTCACTTGGGCCTCTGGTAATTTACTCCCGTAGAGGTTCAGGACTACAACCTGTTTTGGGGGGCTGGATGAGAATTCCTTCACAGGAACGATGTCAGTTCAACCAAAAAGGCAGATAAAACACCGCGCTAAAAAACAACTAAAGTTAACCATTGAAGTTAGTCATATATATTTTGCTTTTTAGATTCGAATACTGTGCTTTTGGAATCCTTGCTTACTGCATCTTGCACATAATGTGAAGAGACAGCACTGGGTGCAACAAGCCTCAGGTTGGGCTTTGATCAAAACATCAGAGAGCGATGCTTAGGCAGGTATTTAGATTTTTTTCTCTTTTAACAGACTCTCCAGTCTGTTAATCATGACTTTAAGCCATTTTTTCACACCAATAAACTTAATGGCTCATGATTACTCTGATTTGTGTCGAACGTCTAGAAACACCATCGATGAGTTCTTGCTTTCAACATTTAAAGAAAAGCCTTATCTAGGCTTGTTTGAGCATGTGGATTGTAATTTTCATGTCTGCTGGTGGTGTGCAGATTGGTTACACTCTGATGGTGGCATAACCAGGTAAGACCTGATCACCTTTTTCATCTAGTCAGTTGTCATTGTTACTGTGTTTCTATACCTGGTAGTCTGGTAGACTTGGTTTGACTGGGGATCAATGTTTCAACACTGGTTACATTTTCAGGTCCCGCTTTTCGATTTAAACTGAACATAAAAACAAAAAACAAAAAATCTGTTCCTCCCTCTGTCCAGTGGTGGCGCTGCACCATGAACCACTGAAGGAAACAACATGAAAACCCCTGAAGAAGATACTGAACACATCTTCCTTCACATATGGTGTAGCGTGAAATGGTAACAGTTGCAGACTTTTTCTTTTGTTTTTGTCAAACGACCATGAGCCATTTCTCCCACTAGCAATAGACTCGCATGTTTGTTATTGTTGTAGTTACCCAGAATACCCTGCTGTTCTTAACTTCCTGATTTTGGCGCGTTCTCTGGTCCGCTTGGTGTTCCCGTGTGCTTGTTAGCGCCAGAGTTCACATCGACCTAGGTTTCTTAGCAGACCAGTTTTCGTTTTTGTCAGAGTTTGATTACGCAGTCACACCTCCCCGAACCAACCGGACTTGCTAGGCAAATGAGCACTGGGTGCATTTGATTGTTACAGACTCCTAAGTTCTAGTCCCAAAATTAAGATTTTTTACACAGAATCTTCTGGAAAGTGCTTACACTTCATCAGACATACTGCACTGGTTCAGTGCACTGGATCACCGCCGTGTCAGACCAGAAGAGAACGGTCTTAATAAAGTTCATTTATTATCATTCCAGCAGGTGACGCCCTGGTAGCAGGGGGATATCTCTTCATGTACAGAACCATCATCCTCTTTTTACCATGAAAAACAGAATAAATTGAGGAAAGAGAAGGACAACAGGAGCAAGCAAAAAAAGAACTAAACACTTTATTTGCCATTTGTTCTGGTTATTGTCTCCCAGCTCCCACCGCAGCACCACGCTAATTCCCCAACCTTCCTGTCGACCTTTAGTTCTGTTTACACTCCGACACACTGATAGGCACGTAAAGATAAAAAATCGACACAGAAAGTCAGTCATTTAAGAAAATAATAACAGCTACTCAAGCCGGCCACAATTTGTGCTCTTTGTTATAATCAACTGTTATTTTTTTTCCTGCGGTCTAATGTGACAGATGAGCAAAACTACAGCATACTTACAAAATAAACTTTTACTTGGTTTTAAAATTTGTTTAGAAGTAAAACCCTGAATTCAGCCAAACAATCATCCTTCATCAAAGAGAATCTGTCAACATGGCAGGAGGTAGTTCTCAGCTGTCTGGCCCTTTATGGGAGGAACAGAGAGAAGGAAACAATAGGTGATAGAAAGATATGCAAGATGAAGTTTTGTTTCAACCCTTTGATGGAGGGGCCTTTTGTTTACAACTAATGCCTGTCGATGCAAACTGAACACATACCAAGGATCATATTGGAAGCACTTTGCTGTCATCTGGCAGCTACAGGAACTGGGACAACACAACAACACTAAGACATTCAGCTACTGAGGAACTACTTAGTCAATTAATTTAATTTCAAAGTAATGAAAAGCTATCCAGCATTTAAAATTCTCAATATTAACATGGGAATGAACAGAGTGACATGTGAGAAACAAACAGGTGTGTAGGAACATAAAAATGAGCTGATAAACACGACAATTGCAGCCACTTCAGCGCCGACTTCACTGTGGTTCATGAATTTTTCACCGCCACTCTTACCCCCCGTGTACCCATTTATAAGAATCAGGGTTAATTCATCCTTTCTCCTTTACACATTGGAACCGAGATGATCTCTTTTTTTTCTTTTTTTTGTGGCACAAGATGCAGTGAACCTTTGACTTCAATTTCCTGGAGCTGGCAGAGCAAAATTAGAAGAATGTTTCAGCGGAGTGCACTGCTCCCTGGCCTCCATTGTGAAGGCTAAGATAAAAGGTGGGGAGGCCTGATGTAGTTACTGACGGATGACCCCTCATCATTTAGTCTGCCCCGCCACGGCACCAGAGGTGTGGAACCTTGTCATTGGAAAAGCTTCATCCATTCACCAGAAAACACGAAGCAGAGCAACACACAACACCATGATCCAGCTATATTAAAATAAATATGCCTGTCATAAAAAAAAAAACCCGGGAGCTAAATATCTTAAAGAAAAGCACTGATGATCATTGAGAAAATGCAGCAGTGTTTAGGTGATTAGATATAATTCCATCAGTGTTAGCTGCTGTGAATCTGTAGCTTATAGCATTGAACAAAAATAAATGCATAAATGTTAGGATTCCTATAATAAATGTTACAGATTATTTACAGTAACTATTTTTTGGGTAGACATTAAAGATTCATCTAAATGATTTGAGAACTTAGAGGAGCCTCAAGGCTTTGTTACATTATGATTTACTGTGCAGTGCTCTGTGTTTCAGCCGGATGATTATTTGTGTTGCGCAACACTCTGACTTCCACTGA